ATAATTAATAATGATAATGGTAATAATAATAATAGTAATAATAATAATAATAATAATAATAATAATAATAATAATAATAATAATAAATAACAATAATAATGAAAATAATAACACCAATAAAATAATAATAATAATAATAATAATAATAATAATAATAACACCAATACAGTGTTGTACCTTCTAGTCCGCAACCTCGACCTGACCGAAGTCGACGATGAAATTAATTCTTTTCCTGGATAGATAGTGACTTGTACGAAAGCCCGGAAGCTAACTAGCACCACTTTCTCTGCATCATGGTCTCTTTGAAGACATATTGAAGGGTTAAATGTCGTATAGTAGCTTCTCAAATTTCGTGAGTTTTTAATTCTTAACGTATTTTATTGGAACACACAAAAAATAAATAAATAAAAATTTTGACGGCGGAAACTTGAATTTCGACGGGTTTGAACGGCCTGCCAACGTGCAGACGACGTGCATAATCGTGTAAACAGCGTCATTTCTCTTATGTACAAAAGATTCATTGTTGTTTATTACTGAATGTCTTTTTTATTGAATTAATGTTTATGTGTGCAAAATGAGCAATAGAATTCATTAATAATACGTAGAATATTAAAACACACAAGGAAATGACACAGCATTGTATTCGTTGATTACAAAACCAGTGACTGACTGGTTCTACATATAAAACTGAAGAAAATAAGACCTTGGTTGTAGCTGTAGTAAAATTAATATGGTTGTTTTAAGTAATGTTATTTAATGTTAATAAATGGAACACAGAAGAGCGTATAAACGGCAATGGTAAAGAAAAGAGAGATCGATATGTAAGTGCGCTAAAGAGGCGCACATCGCGGAAAAACATATCGCTATTACTTAAGAAAGAATAAGGAAAGCAAATAATTGGCTTACTGTTCATATATATTTTAATTAATGTTTCTGAATTTGTTTTTATTGAATTAATGTACGTGTGTGCAAAATTAACAATACAATTTATTAATAATACGTGGAATATTAGAGGAGACGAGATGGCTGCCGGCATTGTTTATGTTAAAGCTTACGAAACCAGTGCTGATTGGTTCTACATATAAAACTGAAGAAAATAAGACCCTGAGTTTAGCTGTAGTAAAATTAATGTAAAAAAATGAATATGTTATTTAATGTTAATAAATGGAACAATATAAGTAGCTAACCATTAATGGTAAAAAAAAAAGTGAGACTGCTCGTATGTAAGTGCACACATGTGAAAATATATCGTCATTACTTTACATAAGAATATGAAAGCAACACTTATTTACTGCTCATATATATTGAAGGGTTAAATGTTGTGCTCTGTATAGACAAGCAGAGAGAGAGAGAGAGAGCAGCCGAACTGCCGGATGTAAACAAACCTTAATTTCCCGCGGCTTTTTTTTTTTAAGGGGATTAGCCCACCCGGGAATAGGTCACTGACCCACATTAGGGCCTGAGGGGCAAAAATTTAATACTCCTATAATAATAATAATAATTCAGATAGGCAAAAAAGAAAAAAAAAAGAGAACTGCCTATCTACCTATTGGACAAACTAAAGTCGTTCCGGACCACGGGAGTTTCCGGACCACAGAATGCCGGACTAGAGAGGTACAACCTGTAATAATAATAATAATAATAATAATAATAATAATAATAATATTAATAATAATAATAATAATAATAATAATAATAATAAATGCCTATCACTTATGCTTTACAAGATACAGGGGGGTGTATAGTTTTTTCTTTAAATTGTCCCATAGTAGATATGAAAGACACTGCAGATTAAAGGAGAAATTTAATATTATTTCAAACTCACCTGAGATTAATGCCCCTCTCTCCAATCTCGGTCATTTCTCCATTAGCCAGGAGTTCTATATCAGATTCTAGAGAGCAAACATAGAGGGTCTTCTTGTATTTCTCTGGATCAAACATCTGGCCCACCAGGATATTCTCAAGGAAAGTGTCGTTGTAGATCCAGGCCTGCTGGGTCACCAAGGCCAGCTGTCCATTCACTTGCACACTCCCACCTTGTGTTTTCATCTGTTTAATAAATATCAAATGTTATTAATTATCAAACAAACTCTTGCTTCTGACTTGATATTCCGTTGCATTATTTTGCATCCTAAGTTTATTTTCTATTGGGTACAGTATCAATATTATTCATTTTAATACTGTAGTACAGTCAATTTTAAGCGGAAGTTAAGTGTCATTCTGTCAACTTTATATTGGCTGCATAAAATTTATTCTAAGTACTACTGTAATAATTATGACAATTCAGTAACTGATAGTAATACAAAACATACTAAATGAAGTCTACAAAGAAATACTGTATACTTTAACTGATAAAAATCATTATTCTAAGACTGTTATATTGCAGGTCAAGATATGAAGCAATAGATATGTAAATAAACAAAGACCTTACATCACCACAGATTGCAGATATAAGAGAACTCTTCCCAGAACCTATGCTGCCACAGACACCAATAAGCTTGCCACGTTCAACAGAGAGGTTGATGTTGAAGAGGGTTTCCACACTCTTTACCAGATCTGTGTTGCGTTCCTTTGCTGGGCTGTTTGTAGTACCATTAACATGGCCGCTGGTGACAAGGCCATTAGTATGAAGTCCTGTTCCATTGACTGCACCATTCTTCTTCACATCTGAAATACAATAAACTGTATTTATAAGCCACCAAACATCAAAGATTAATCCCGGAAATCCTATTCTAAAGTAGAGCTCACATAAAAAGACTTGATATTTCTACCCATAAGTCTAACCCAAGCTTAAACCCTTAATATTGATGGATAGTTCAAACAAACAATTAGTTATTCGCACGTGCATGTGTAATTGTGTGTGTGTGTGTGTGTGTGTGTGTGTGTGTGTGTGTGTAAGAAAAACTTGAGTAGTCTACTGATAAGCCAAGAGTAACAGATGGGTGGCTCAGGACCTAGAAAACTGAAAATCCTAATAACTGGTTCAGTCTTGATCCCACAAGGGTCTCTGATTTAAGGGTCTATATCTTTACTTCAAAGCAAATTTAAGTTGTGATTATTCATTCATTTATGATACTGTAGTTACTGTATATGTTAACCTTACCGGGCTTCTTTTTTTCCTTCATATCTTTAGATGGACTTCCGCCAGATTTTCCTTGTCCTTTGAAATCAATATTGTAAATTTCCCAAGAAAAAGTAGCATTTTTCATCTGCAGCGCCAAATTATTGTTGAGTAAACCTCCTGCACGCTTCTGATGTTCCGGCAGCTCCAGTAGTTTCTGTGGATAATCATATTATTTTTATTCATCTTAATTGAATGTTTTTATTAGCTATAAACAAGGACTGTCCATTCTACATTATTATTACACTCTTATTCTCATCAGCCCCAATTGGCTTGGTAGACATTGACCTGCAAAGTCCTCTTCCTATACATAATGTGTACTGTAGTTTATTACAACCTGTAGAAGCTTACATCATTATGAGAGAATGTCACCAATACTGGAACTCAAAATTTCAGAAATACAAGTTATAACTATATGTCCTTTATTTAAAGATAATATAATACCCTATAGTATTTGATTATGTATACTGTGTGTGCTTTGTATTTGTTGAAGAAAAAAGTTGATAGTCAAGTCTAAGTTGGAACCCAAAGAACTAATGGGTACAAGTCAAAGAACTAATAGGC